GATTTTTCAGACCACCCCTGCAGTTTATTTAGATCCTCCTGTAATGTATTTGCATCCTGCCCTTAATTAATCTGCCGCCCTATTTTGGTGTCATCGGCAAACTTGCTTATGTCACTGCTGATCCCAGTATCTAGATCGTTTATGTAGATTATGAACAAGAGTCGGCCTAGTACCGACCCCTGGGGAACACCACTGGTTACACGACCCCACTCAGATTTAACACCATCTACGCTGACTCTCTGCGTTCTATCGGTGAGCCATGATTTCATCCAATTTAAAACTTTCCCCTCAATACCATGAGCTAGTAACACTCACTTGAAGTTTAAGCTTATCTATTATTTTCCTCATCTGTTATATTATGCAGATAACATTCATACTGTTCATGTTAAACTTTGGCCATAGTGAATGCATTTCTTATTAGACATATAAACATTCACAAATCTTTACATTTATATATTTGACGCACCCTTGTAAACGCACTAGTGAAGGGGACTGTACCTGTACCTGAGTGTTTTTTCAATGGATAGGCTAAGATAAAGTGAAATGTTATCGAGAAAACAAGTGAAGAAGCCATTTTAAGACGAGGATGGTAAGTTACTTAGGCATAATAAGTCTTACCATACTGATGTTGGGAGGATAAAGTTCAGTTGTTGACTGGATGAAGAGGCATGTAGGTGAGGGCATTTATACCTCCCTCAGGTGATGGCTGACTGCATGACTATCACCTTGGTCAGCCAGTTAAGCCGCAGTTATTACTCTAAAAATCACAACCTGCTTCAGTGAAAAGGTAAACAAAACAAACTGTTAATCGTAACATCCAGCAGATGGCGTCTATCGGAGTGAAGTTTAGTATATCCTAGGAAATGGCTGAGATCCTGTAGAAATTAGAACCTGGTGACTCTTGTTCTGTATAGGTTTTATGAGACTTAACTTTGGATAATTTCATCTGAATTCTTGAACAACTAATTATATGTGCCAAAATCTACCTCTATCGAAAGGAAATAATTTTCAACTTACTCACCTGACCTTTGTGGGTAGGAGAATGACAAGACTAATCCCGGGTCTTAGGAACCTTGAGTACAGAGACAGGTTAAAGCATCTTAATTTGCACTCTCTCGAGAGACGTAGAGCGAGGGGCGACATGATAGAGGTGTATAAATGGAAGTCAGGGCTAAACAAATGGGACATTACAAAGGTACTCAAACTATTCAACCAGAAGCGAACTCTTAACAATGGTTTTAAATTAGACAAATTTAGATTTAGGTGTGAAATAGATAAACATTGGTGTGGAAATAGAGTAGTGGATGAGTGGAACAAGATACCAAATATCATCATTAACTCGGATACGCTGGATAGCTTCAAACATAGGGTGGATGCATATATGAGCAATAGGGGTTGGGTGTAAATGGGACTGCCCAGTATGGGCCAATAGGCCCGCTGCAGTTTCCTCCATTCTTATGTTCTTATGTTCTTATGTTCATCAGCATAACAAGGTGAAACATGAACGAAATACCCAGAAAATGCATTCACCTAAATTCTTGACCGGCGAGGAGTTCTACATGTATAATCTAGTGGATAACAAGCACTAATATTATGGTACTAGACTCACCGTAGCTTGACTCTCCTTCAGTCAGTGTTTATGATGGTGTTTAATGGTGACTGAGGGGCATTGTATGTATGTCAGCTAAGTATTATATTTATATCAGCTTAGTTTCAAGTTTATAATTGCTAAGTATTACATTTATATCAGGACAGTTTCAAGTTTATGTCAACTAAGTATCAAGTTTATATCAGCTAAGTTTCAAGTTTATATCAGCTAAGTATCAAGTTGATGTAAGCTAAGTATTAAGTTTCTATCAGCTAATTTTAAGATTATGTCAGGAAAGTTTTAAATTTACATCAGCTAAGTATCAAGTTTATATCAGTTAAATATTAAGTTTATAACAGCTAAGCATTAAGTATAAATCGAGTAATTATTCTACACAGTTTTGAATTTGTGGTGTATTTGCGTTACTAGTCATAAACTCAAGCGTCAGTAAAGTAATAATGTTAGCCTCCTATCTCTGTGTTCCTTAACCCTGAGTCTTCTTCCATGGCGAGGACTGGGTGGGTTAAATCTGAAAACAATTCTTAAGAAGTTGTATTTTGTTGCTGTTAATATTAAGAGTGTCTGTCTGTATTTAAGTGTTCTTATTGGAAGGTGATTTTAATGTACATATATTATGTAACCTATTGTATGAAAACTGTATCCGCTATATTTCATTCTTATAGTACCGGGTATATCATATATTTTACTTTATTATTAATTTACAATCTGCAATATTCATAAATGTAGAAAATAACATCCAAGTTCAAGGAAAAATAAAGTTAACATTTCTGTTTTCTGTTTATGTTATTTTCATTTATAACAAAATAAATATTATCTCGTATGGTAACAACCTAATATTACAGCAATATTTATTGATTTATTTATATTATATTCGCCATAAGTTTGTGATTGTTAATACATTTAGTTTTTATTTACATGATTCTTCCTTCCATACTATAATGTCCGGCTGTTGGATGATTCACAGTTACCTGAGATGTGATGTGAAGAATGTAAGTTAAAGAAGAGTTAGTGTAGTGTATCGGCAACACACCTAGAGCATCACTAGTCCACACGTTGTGACTCGCTGCGTGATAACCTGCCACTGCTGACATGGATCACTCCAGGTACATAGTAATTATTATCACTCCAGGTATATAGTAATTATTATCACTCCTGGTAAATAATACACCTTTTTTCAATTGCAATTGAACAATGTTACTTTTGGTTTCAACATCTTCGAATGGAATCAACATTCTTACACTTGATTAATAACAATCTTTACTTTCCGTTCAACAATCATCCAAAACTTTTCAACAGTCGTTCAACACGTGACAATGTTTACTTGCTTTCAACAATCGTCTCATTCTTCATTGACAATTCACTAATACTTTCAACATTTTACAAAACTAAGTAACAATCTTTAAAACATTATAACCATGCAAAAAGTTTATGTTTTGGTGTTTTTCGTAGATCGAAAGACTAGTTGATCTAATTCGATCTTTTGAAGCAAGTAACGAATCACTGAGTCGAGATGGTGTGCTACACACTCAGTATTTTCATTACGAGTGTGCAGCTTCTCCCGTATACAGTTCGTCGCCGAGCCCCTCCAGCATGCCACGGAGGCACCGAATAACAAGTGCTACAGATCGCGAGCGCATTATCGAGGCCTACAGAGCCGAACAAGATTTCCTCGTAGTTGCAGCAGCCCTTGGAGTTCAGCGCACCACGGCATACTCCATTGTGCGAGTATACCAACGCGAAAACAGGGTTGAAGCGGCTCACGCAGGAGGCAGACACAAGATCATCGACAATGAAACTCTGGATCTAATAGTGATGCTGCTTGAAGCAAACCCTATGATGACCTTGAGAGAGATAAAGGAGGAGGTCATGGATATATTTCCTACAAAACCACATTTCAGTGAGGTAACGCTTTCGCGTTATTTGGAGGGGGAGCTGATATCACTGAAAATGTCCCGTGACTCCCCAGCAGAATGAAATTCTCCCGCAGTAAAGGAGGCGAGACACGCGTACGCTACGTGGATGCTGGCGACGGGTCAACAGCAGCAACTAGTATACATTGATGAGACAGGTATGTAATTATGTAACCACTTATCAACTATCTGTAGTATGTTCTACATAATTACTTAAGTAAACTGTATGTAACGAGTGAGTACTTAATATTGATCTCAGTTTGATGCATCGTACAACTTTCCTTGTGTTAATGTTTAATTACATTACAGTATGACTACATACACTGATGTTTCATTTCCAGTGTTCAATCTGTGGACCAAGAGGACGTACGGCAGGGCAAGACGCGGGGAGCGTGTGCATCGCGCCGTTGGTGGACAGCGTGGCAGAAACACGACAGTGATTGCTGCGATAGCTGAACACTGTGGAATACTCTATCACGAAATTCACTATGGTTCAGTGACGAAGGAAGTATTCAGTGATTTCATCGCATCACTTGCAGCAATAATTATTGCTGCAAGTGATGCGATGAAATCCGATTATAATCGGAGACGCAACATCCATACTTGTTCTAGACAACGCTCCAATTCACAACGGTATCGCAGCAGTCTATCCCGAGCTGAATTTTAAATTTCTCCCTCCATACTCTCCTTGCTTGAACCACATAGAAAACTGTTTCTCTGTGTTTAAATCATACCTGAAGCAGTACCTCCACCGTGAAGCTCCACGGTGCAACGCGGCCCACGCCAGGCAAGAAGGAGTGACTCTCAATGCACTGAGGGAGAACATTTTGCAAGTTGGCATGGAATTTGCACTGCCTAGTGTCACGGAACATGTTGTGTCGCAGTACTATAACCATGTCAACACCTACTTGGTTCAATGTATTGAGCGCCGAGACATCTTCAATTGATATACAGTAGGTCTACAGTAATAGAGTATAACCTACTACCTTACCGTTTGTTCCACTTGAAACAATTCACGACAAAAACCTTCTATACACTCATGGGTTCTTTTTTACCTGACAGGTTACTATTCGTGAGGCAGAGGAGGAAGGCAAGTCAACGGGATGCTGATATGACACTCCTCTCCCCAATCCCACTACCCCTCCCACCCTCACCTACCTCCATCCCTACCTTACAGCCAGGCAGAAACAACCCACCAAGGTGTACGAGGCCTTTACTGTGAATTGCTTCGTGGAAGTATCATGACACCAATGTATTTAGCTATTAGTATAAGGCCCTTTTTTCTTTGTTTCTTTTTAAGCAATCGTATGTTTTATGTAGCTACTACATACTAAAGACTAAAGACATTACATAATTACATATGTTTATACCAGAATTCATTGTGTTGTTGATGTTTGTGTAAGTATACTCAAAAATTAAATATTCATGGCTGTTACTGATTTTAAAAATTGTTGAATAAATTCTTTTCAATGATGATTGTTTCAGTCGCATTGTTGAAAACTTTGGTAGACTGTTGAAAGCAATCGGAGATATGTGGCTGTTGAAAGGTTTTGTAAATTGTCAAATCAAAATAACTGATTGTTGAATGGATTCGGAAAATAGTTGAAAGCAAATAGAAATTTGTCATTCCAAAATCTTGATTGTTAAAGGCGAGTGGTCAAATGTTCAATTGCAAATGAAAGAAGGTGTAATTATTGTCACTCCAGGTACATAGTAATTATTATCACTCCAGGTACATAGTAATTATTATCACTACAGGTACATAGTAATTATCATCACTCCAGGTATAATATATTATAAGAATCTGTGCCTCTAACACCCTAAGTGGCAATTCTGTTACTTGTTAGAGTATAGACAATAAAAGATCATTTTCCCCTAATAATAAAGATTTTTAAATGAAATTTTATTTTACGCCTCAATATATTCCAAAATGAACATTAAAATTTATTTAAATAAGTTTATTATGTCTTGTGGGGAGAATATTGATTTTCCTTCTCAAGACATTAAAAAACATTTTTATAAGCCGATAAAAATACAGATACATCTAGTCTCTTGTCATGGATAGAATTTGCGAAGTATTATCCCGCTACATTTACTGATACTATTTAAATATTCCACTGATATTCAGAAAACCCTGATCTCATAGTTAGTGGAAGTAATAACTGTACTGTATTAGCAAGTAAGTTATGGGAATTTCTACATCAAGTTTTACCAAAAGAATAAGTAAGCGTCTTTTAATAATGTATCATTTTAACATTTATGTGAAAAGGGTAAATTTTAAACTGAGTAATTGAAAAAAAATCTTTGTCGGCATCTTTTTATTCATGTAGAGATAAAATGAAGATGTTTATAGTATATCATAAAATAACTTAAGTAGCACATCACAAAAAACTAAACAACTTCATTTCTTTTACACCTAACTGTAGAAATTGTTAATACAGTAGAGCTATGTGTTTATTATTATAATTCACATGTGTACATTACACTTTATTTACTCTTATACCACACTTGGTAAGTGATGTCAGGAGAGCGAAGTTGGGGTAAATCAAAGTTATTTTCACAGTCGTTTATGTTTTATTATTACTACACAAGAATCACAAGACACAAACTGACGAAGAAGAGTTCAGGAAACTTAGTATTGGTGTCTCTCATTTCTTTATGTTTACATTTATTTTCCATAACCTCCACTCCCACCGTCATAGCCACCGCCACTAGAACCGCCATAACCGCCACCGCTGGATCCGCCATACCCACCACCGCCGCCACTGGAGCCGGCATACCCACCACCACCGCCGCTGGATCCGTCATACCCACCAACGCCGCCGCTGGAGATGCCATACCCACCACCGCCGCCGCTGGAGCCGCCATACCCACCACCACCGCCGCTGGATCCTCCATACCCACCACCGCCGCCGCTGGAGCTGCCATACCCACCACCGCCGCCGCTGGAGCCACCATACCCACCACCACCGCCGCTGGATCCGCCATACCCACCACCGCCGCCGCTGTAGCTGCCATACTCGCCACCGCTGCCTCTGGAGCCGTCTTGCCCGCCTCCGCCACCACCTCCATGGCCACCTTCACCGCCACCACCATACCCGCCGCCACCACTTCCATGGTCACCACCTTTGCCACCGCTGCCACCACCATGCTCATCTGGCTTGGCGAGGCAGGTCATAGCCAGGAGCCCCACCACCATGGTCACAAACAACTGCGTCTGAAATTGTCAGAGATAAACTATTTTTATTAAGGTTATTATAATCAGTTAACATAATGGTACTATAAATAAGTTCATTTACCACAGAGATGTTAGGTCAGTTACTTTCTGTAAATTAACGAGAAAAGGTTTGCTTCACTGAAACTTCACTAACAATGACAGAGAAGAGTATTATTTATTTGAGTGCAGAAAACACGATATGTGTAACATTTGTCTGATATAAAGTTTTCTTTAGTACATAATTTACTACGGTGAAGCTGGAAACCATTTGTTTAAAATATAATTTTTAAATCTGTCCTGAACTTGTGCCTATACCTTCAGCTATACCAGCAACTCCTGTACTCGTCATGCTGATGAGCTGAACTGTTATTAATAAGACAAGTGAAGAATGCACTTATAGAAGATGATGCTAAATTACTTAAGCCATAATAAGTCTTACCATAATGATGTTGGGAGGATCAAGTTCAGTTGTTGACTGTATGAAGAGAAGTCTAGGTGAGAGCTTTTATACCTCCCTCAGGTGATGGCTGACTGCATGACTGTTTCCTCATTAATCAGTTAAGCTCCACTTACCAATTGAGTAACACAACCTTCATATCTGAAAAGATTAAATTTGTTCACTTCTACTATCTAACAGGCGGTGACTGATGGAGCTTTGTCACTTATGAAAATCTTTTGAGTGTCGTGAAAAAGCTGCAGAAATTATCCCATTTGTGAGCCTTCATTGCCAGCCACTTGGAGAACGACCTTCCCGTTGTATCTGGGGATCATAAGGGTAGAGCATTTGAAGGTATTATTTACATTCCTTAAATCCATTTTTAGCTTTGAAAATTCCTTAGAAATTAATGGTTATCTTATTTGCCTTAAACACACAAACACCACTGCTACTCTGTTCCCCTGACATTATTAACGGAGCGGGTAACAGTAATCATGCAAATCATAAATGATCATACAAGCATGAAATTTCGTATGGACATTAAAAATGGGTTACTTATCGAATCTATCCACTTGAACATTAAAAATTCCAAGATGTAGCCATTTTCCAAGATGGCCGCCGAATTTGCCTAACTGAAATTTTTTTTACATATATTGACTTATTATTGGGCAATCTGTGCACATAAGGTGTCTATTCTCATATTTTAAAGCATTCTGGAACAGATTATGATTGCTTTGGAACGCTCAGATATGTCTTTTATGCATAAAGTAGCGGTTCAACACATATTTTTACCTCTTATCATAAAAATAAGTGTAAGCGATTCTCACTTAAATACATCTTTTGCTCATATCCTTGTGAGATATTGCTATAAGAATTCTTTCATATTTACAGCTGCTGGTATGTGCATCCACACAGAGCTGTGCAAGTGAGACCAGAGCTGATACATTTACATCGCTATCCACAGTCTTTCTTGCAAGAACACTTGGTCAGTTCTTGACAACTCGCTGCCCCAGTTAGCACGACTTGGAATGTCTGATTGTGCTGCAGTTACCTGACCCCCAAATCATTCCACCTTGATAGGCTGCACGCTTTACATGGTGGACTAGACCTGGCTTACATCACTACCACAAACCTTTCCAAGACATTGAGGTCTTCTTCACTAACTGATGTAAGACACTGACTGAGTTTGATGAAGGTACTAGAGAACTCGTTTAACACATTCCATGTTTGCCATGCAGTCTTTTTACCTTTACCACGGAAGGCTGACACAACATCACAACCACTGAATGCATGGAGAAATGTGATTCCAGTGGCTCTTTCAGGCTCTATGGCTACAACTAACTCAAGAACAGGAATCCATCTTGTATAAGTCCCTAAGCCCCTTGACCATAAGAAATCCACATTTCTTCAAAACCAATGATATCTGTGTCATTGGCTTTTATGAGAACTCTTTTACTGCCTTCCATTACAGCTTGTCCTGTTTGTACAAAGAGGCGGGTATCTGTCTCTTCATGGGAGCATGGCGTCAATTCTTCTAGAGGCGTATTATGGTTGCTAATGACATAGCAACAACTGACTTGGATGCTCCATGCTGAATTTGTGATTTAATACCTGTGCCATGTTAACTCATAACTGATGAAGGAGCTGCATATTCAATACTTCTATCATCAAGTATGGTTAGGAATTTTGACTAGTGTTAGTGCATATTCTGCCTTATTATTTTCGCAGCCTTGGCCAAATGAAACGCTTCACTGTATTTGCCAACCTCAGCCAGGATGGAGCCTACATCCTCTTGGAATGCTAGCAAAACATCTCTTCCTTGACTGTGAGCTCCCAGTTGAGGAATATGTGAAACTAATTGGTTCTTAAGCCTAGTAGAATAAATTTCAGGCGATTCGACACCAAGTTGTTCGAGTCTCTGCTTGTACAGTAAGACTAACTCTGCTAGTCTAAAAAATGTTCCATTAGAACCTTCACATGCAGTTTTTGTCATAAATGTATGTCACCAATTCAGAGAAAACCAGTGAATATGCATCTTTTTGTCAAGGTTCTTTGACTTTTTCTCGTATCCTTTCTCTATAGTACAGTGCAGCTCAGCAAGCAGGGTAAAATTTCACCTCTTGTGCCACTACATCTCTTGCACTAAGTTAGCAAGGAATCTTTTGTCACTAAGTCTTTTTGCACATTCATCGATTTTGTCACTGAGTTTCATTGTCATCGATTGACGGAGAGCACTCTCTGGTGCTGGTTTGTCACACAAAAAGCATTCTGTTGTGGTTTTTGTGTCTCTTGGCTTTCATAGTACCTTACTTCGGCAACCTTCATCACTGTCAACTACAGAGGTGGTTGCTCTTTTTGGGGCTCTTTGCAACATTATGTAGCTCACCTAAATCTACAGCTCTCATGATATTTGGCAGTATTTTTCCTCATTGTCTCTGCAATACCATCTCCATCATGTAGTGTTTCCATATCAAGCCTTATTGGAAGGGCATTGATTGAGTTGAAAAGAGGAATATTCTTGACTAATTTGCTGTAGCCATCTTTCTCTCTTCTAGTAGGGTTAGTCCTTGGAGATTTAAGTTTTTCCTTTTTATATCATGACACAGACAGCACTTGGCCCAGGTTGTTTTCCTTTCAGGATTACTTTTAGGACCAATATTCATCGCCATTGTGGTACAGAGTCGAAGGTTTATCCTTTTACCACTCTGTATCATACGTACTTTCCTGCATGGGACAAAACCAGGTTTAATCAATTGTTTGCCCTAACTTTAATCCCATAACTCTTGGCTCGGCTCTCCCGCGCTGGTACATCCTGTCAATTCGGGTGCGGCTACATAACACATACACACACATATAAATATATATATATATATATATATATATATATATATATATATATATATATATATATATATATATATATATATATATATAT